ACACACACACACACACAGAAACAAATACCTACACACACACACACACACACACACACACACACACACACACACACACACAGAAACAAACACACACACACACACACACACACACACACACACACACCACTCTCGCTGCCTGTCAACTGTAACACTAAAGCCACAGGGATCAAATAGAAGTACTTTACTGTAATTACGAAATATAAAGATAATACGATAGTGTATGACTGATTCTGCTTTGAGAAATAAGCAGTTTTTAAGTTTTTAAAAACACCAAATGTGGATATTGTAAATTAAAAAGATTTGCATTGGTCAATACCAAATAATCTTCAAATCTTTTTTTGGTTAAATCAATAACTCAGTCTTTAAAGTCTCATACAAATCCAAGTTAATGTCTTTAAATAGCTTCAATTGTTAGAACAGTCCCAAATAAGTTCATAAAAAAGAGAAAATAGGCATTTTAAAAGCTGAATCCAGAACATTTTGCCAGATTAATAACTATTAATATACTATAATATAACTATAACTATAAATTAAACAATTATTAATCTACTAATCAACACCTTTTTTTTGCACTACATCTGAAATATAATGTCAAAGATTTTATACTAAGTAAACTAAGTTTGTACAACAACATTTTCAGTTTTTGGTAAATCAAGTTAGTCTTTATGGCTACATATATATTCTCTGTCCGCTTATGGAATATGCATTTGATAAATGTGCTAGGAGAAAGGTAGGGCCTGTTGCTATCCTTTACATATTTTAAACACGGAACAAATAATATTCATACAGCAAATTCAACACACAGAGGAGAAACTTACTAAAATATTCTTGAATTAAAGGTAATAAATCCATCGACTAGGGCTCACAATATGTATGACACCTGGAAGAGAAAGAACATTAGTCATTGGACAGAAATTAATTTCCTTTCTTTAAGGCTTTGAGTTTAAATAAAACTGAGTACATAAAACTAAAGAATACATGAAGAAGTTCTGTAATTTCTATAAATAATTGATACAAAATCTATCCAGATTACACTAATGAAGCTTCTAGATCATTTCAAGGAATTTCAAAATGGTATGGATTTTTTTTTTCTTTTAAATACTTAATACAAATATAGTTTTTTAGGATAATAAGTGGTATAAGAATAGGGAACACTTAAACCCAGATAGCCATGTACCATTGGCTGATGGCTAAATTATTAATGCCATTCTTTGACAGATTTTCTCTGAGTTTCACAGGTATTTGAGGCATTTCTGCCGGCTGGTGGTGAATGTTCACAGGCAGAGCCAGGTTCAAATACAAAGCCATACCTGCAGCAGGCTGACAATACAGACTGTGCCAGAGCCCAGACTCCCTTTAAGCTTTGTCAGGCTTTTGTGTCCCTGCTTATTGTTTAGTCAAACCGAAGCCATTCTTAATTAACATGAGATAACACTTCATTGATCTTACTTCCCTCAGCCTAGGATATTCTTGTCATGGCCGTTTTTATCCGTCATACCTTTAGATCGGAGATGTCATACTTAGATAGGGAAAGCAAATCCATCTGCCATCTTTGGTGCCATCATTTGGGTTGGAAAGTGTGTAGACCTGCAGCGACCCTCCCAACCTGTCGCTTCTCTCTCAGCTTTTTTTTTTTTCAAACCCTGCCTCTCAAACTCTCTCGTGCACAATCGTCTCCGGTCTCGTTCTTTTGTCCCCGGTCCGGTAACTTGCGCAAAAGAAAAAGTTGTCCTTTTGTTGTTAGTTTTTGGAGGCGGCTTGGAGTCGGAGATGGGGCTCGGTCAAACGGAGCTGCCTCCCGTTTCCAGCCATGTCTGGACTGTCACATTGTGTGACCATGCATGAGTGAATCCACAGAGACCATCAGCCTGTCCGGTGACACACCACGCCCCTGACAACCTCCCCAAAAACCTGCCCGAAAAGTGCGCAAAAAGGTGCCACCAAAACTTTCCCGCAGTTTTTACAAAATGTTGATGTGGTATCTCGGGACAAACACTTGAAAAAACTACACAACTTTTAAGAAACCACATAAAAAAATCATCAAAGCTGCGTTTAAAGTAGGAAAATGTTATTATATTACTTATTTAAAGGGGAATAATCGATCAAATCCTATTGAATTGACCAAATTTATAAAAATAAAAAAAACCGTTACTTTGAGAGATTCATCAAAACATGATATTGGCTTAGGAGTAAATTGTGTGGAAAAAAAGACAAAGTGAGGATAATGCAGTATTCTCTGATTATAATACAATGTTAGTGCATCACCCATATACCCCCCCCCCCACCATACGCACACACACACCTGCAGTTAAATGAGGCAATTTGAAACATACAACAGACATACTGTACATATTTTTTTACTGATTTATGAAAAAAAGCCTCACAGCTAAAATAATTCAATGATCAAAGTGTGAGTATGATGAAAACATCTCAGGTACAAAACACAATTACAAACATTTTTTTTATTTCGTGCTCAGAAAAAACTGTCTTGTTATTAGTAGGCTATGTTTGTTTCCCGTTAGAAACAGACTACTACAGAGTATGTAAGAACATCTGGATAGAAAATGTTATAATCTTAAAACTGCAAAAATCAGGTTCATCCCTTAAAAAACTCATCGTTGCTATCACAGTAAATGTTGCATCAAAATGTAATTTGGCTGTTACAAAAAGCAAGAGGTTAAAGGTCAGTGTAGAGCAGACACACAAACACAAGAAATGTATTTTAACTCACACTTTTCTGTCAATCTACATACAGAATACATTGTCTGAAATCCTGCATGACTTGGCATTTTTCGCTCAAAACTTTTCCTTCCTGCTTACAAAAGTCACCATAACTCTTCCTGCTGTATCTCCACAGAACTGCATCAGTCAAAACATGTCAACACATATGAATACATTGACCAAATTGTCTCACATATCCGTCATCCAATCGTTTCTAACCACAATTCTTCGTCCACACAACACAGATGTGACTAATCCAACTCAGCTATTCCTGGATGGGGAGGGAGGACAAAGACATTTTCACTTTGAGATCGGCCGTAGTTCGTCACGTTAAGAGGCCGAGCGGTGATTAGTGCTGAGGCTAAAATAAGGCACAGGCGGAAAGCTGATACAGCCAGCTGGGGTCAGACTGCGGCAACAACACAAATCCAAAATATAACAGGAGGATCTGAACGTCACGGATGAACAGGACAACTTCTGGACTAAGTTTTTCAAACGCTTGATTATTAGCTTCAATGTTAACTTGAATATTGGGGTGAGGAATCAACCGATGATAATATAAATTACCTTTAGAAGCAATGTTATAGGAATTTTTGAAGTTGAGATCCCAAATGATGATCCTAGATTTCAAATACAGTCTCGGAGAATAAAAAGATCTTCAGAGGGCCAAAGAATTTAAAAAAAAATGTTGAGTGAAATGTCTTGAAATTTCAAAATCTTCATGATTTACTTTGTTTTAACACCATTTAGTATTAGTATTACTAAATGAGTATTGTTGCCTCATTTTTTAAGACTTCAATATCCAGATTTACATGAATTATGCAATATAGTAACTGCACTTTGTGACTGAAGAATAACAGCATCTTTAAGAGTCCAAACTTATTTAAAAAAAAATATTTTATCACATGGCGTGCATTTGTGAAAATAGGCAACACATTTTCAGTGTGTTTAAGTTATTTAACTCATGTGACGACACACTTCAAACACTTTCAGTTCAAGTAAAAGACATTCTGATTGATTGAACAGCATTAAATCTGTACCGTGGTGTAAGATTTCATCGTGTTATATTGAAGTCAGCATAATCTTAACCTGTGCAACACACTTATCTGTAATTATAAAACACAAAAACTCTAAAAAGTTATTCAACTATGAATTTTCAAACTTCAAGCTACAGTCACTTGATTCAATACAAACTGCTTTCATCAATTACTGTAAACACATGTCAAATATAAGGTCAGCTCTTGTAAACTAGACACTAAAAATGTAATCTCAAAGACACTTTTTGCTTCACTTTTCATGACTTCATTGGTTCTCCTTCCTCTTGTTCGACATCCTTCAGCCTTTAAGGACAGTGTTTGTGCTCTCAGGGGTTTCTCTCAGAACCACTAGGTGTCAGTGTCGACCCAATCTTCTCTGCTTCAAAACATTAAAGCAACTTCAAACTGTTAACAATAAATTAAAAACCTTCCATACAACTCTATCAACCATGCGTGAAAAGTAAGGTGACACTTGTGATAATGTGGATGATCCGCATATCCAATATTTTTTATGAAAATACTACCTGAAACAGGCTCTTTAAAAAAGGAACACTTCACCCACAAAATGGTCATTTGTACATCAATTATTCACCCTGTGTAACCTTCAAATCTTGAAG